AGTATTTAAATTTTCTACTACTTTATACTTCTACTCCACTGCGTGTGGTACTTTTTACTCCACTACATTTATGTGATCATTTTAGTTACTAGTTATCAATCAAGACGATCGTTTTTGTGGGGGAAATTCACAATTAAAACTGACCCCCACCTTTACCAGCTGCAACATTAAAGGGATGTACACATGAATGTATCAGTAGTTTTAAACCAGTAATAAACATTATACTGACTGCAGGACATTTACTTTTTACAGAGTATTTCTACACTGTGGTATTACTACTTTTACAAATATGACAGGTATACAACAACATTAAAGTTGTTTATTTGGCTGCTTCATTTTAGAAGTCATGTTTTCCTCCTCTCAACAACATTTTAACAAATCTACACTGACCATGAGACATGATTTCTGTGTAATTCAAAATACCAACATCTGTATTCTCAGTTTCACAAAATACTTGCAGACTGTAAATGTATTTCAATGCAGGGAGGAGAGGTAAGTGCACGATAAATAACAACTCTTATCCTCATAGATGGTTTCCTGTTTGTGGAGGAACTTCTGGCTCACCCGCAGTTCCACTCATATTCACTGGAAGACGTGAAGAGAGTCGTGGCCACAAATGACAAGCAGCGCTTTAAGCTTCGCACCCACCCGGAGGATGGCCGCCTGCAAATTCGAGCCAGTCAGGGCCACTCAGTACAGGTGAATGTCCGATGATGTGACTGTATTGCTGAAAAGACATGTGGAAATCTACGAGTGGCACTGACAAGGGGATATTTGATTTTGATCCAGCATGTCAGGATGTATTACTCCCCTCGGTAGATGCTTTATTCAGTATATATTCAATCTCTCTTCATCTCTGCAGCAACACATAGGGACCTAAAACCAAATGGCAACACAAAGAATGCAGAGATGCCCAGTCTGTGTCCTCTCTATGTGTGTTGGAGAGTATGAGTGAACGAAGGCCAGTTTTCTAGAAATAATATAAGTATACACTACTTATACTGTACATTCACTTTCTTCTGATGAAAAATGAACAACCACTCAAAACAAACTCCATGTCGTTCCACTAAGTGCATACAAATGTAATAAAACAATTTACACCTTCGAAGTATCACTTTAAACTTTAAATATGTCTGATGACATATGATGTTAGTCCTCTGACAGTCAGTTTAAAAATAAGTATAATTATTGTTAGATCAAGGTACAAAGGGTCAATGGGAAGTAGCAGGTAGTGAGTCTGGTGCTAAAATGCATCTTCAAATTTGATTATGTTATTTTTTCCTCTTGAATCAATGACAGATGCATTTGTTACAAACATGTGATATATAAAAATCCTCATTGCCTTTTGATTCTGCTCTCAGCTTTTCTACCTATCTTCCCCTGATAGCAGTTCAATTTCACTACAAGCTTTTCACAACTAGTTAAGCAACAAAATTGTCATCCCAATCATATTTTCACATTAGTTTGTCTGTGTATTAGATTTTAATCTTACACATTTGAATCCTAATTTTAAATGCTGTTTTAATACTGGTCGATTTGCTGTGGTCAGGTAACAGATTTGGGGCTGAAACCGGTCGTGGCTGGTTCTCCAGACTGCCCTGCTGTGGCCGTTCATGGCTCCTACCTCCGCAACTGGAGCTCCATCCAGCAGCAGGGCTTGAACCGCATGAAGAGGACACACATCCACCTGGCACCAGGCCTGCTAGGGGAGGATGGCGTCATCAGTGGTAAGCTGTTTGTGTGTGTGTGTGTGTGTGTGTTGTGTGTGGTGTGTGTGTGTTGTGGTGTTGTGGTGTGGTGTGTGTGTGTGTGTGGCTGTGTGAAAGAGTGTGTGTGAGAGAGAAAGAAGCCAACTGAACAGTTATACAAATGTTCTACAGTGTGCTTCATTTTCCCATCAGGCATGAGGAAAGACTGTGATCTAGCTGTGTATATCGATGTCCCCAAAGCTCTCGCTGGTAAGCTTAACCACTACTGAGTGCTACCCAGTACGCTCAATTCAGTCTATATGTTTAGACAAAAAAAATCTTTCTTACTTTCTTTCTTTTTGTGTGCATCTGACTGTACAGATGGTATTGAGTTCTTCTGGTCAGAAAATGGTGTGTTGCTGACTGCAGGCAACGCAGAAGGAAAACTTCTCCCTAAATACTTCAGCCGAGCCTTAAGACTGAGGCCTACAAGTAAGAAAAACACATAGATTAATTCAATCTGGATCCTTTTTTCTAAACTTGAATTTAGGGCCCACATTTACTTGTTCACTGAAGTCACTTTTCTCCTGTGTTTCAGAGAGTATCCTGCCACTGCAGTAACATCAGATGATACTGTCTATCTACTGTCTATACTATCATTGGTGATAGCAGGACTCACCTGGCTGTGCTAGCATCCCATGGTTGGTTGATGCTTAGCCTAGTTCCCTTGGTAACACTTGTTGTTTGACAGGAGCATCTAGCATTATGGGAATACTTTCAGAAATCATCTTACATGGGACTAAATTGGTAAACGTTTTATTTTTGTGTAATAATTGAAAGGATCTGGATGGCTTTATGAAAGCATACTTTATTTTTATATGACAATTCAACCATCTTATGCTGGCAAATGTCACTTTTTATTTATAAATATTGGTGCTTTGTTTTTTCTGTTACATTGTTAGAGCTAAATAAACCATAGCTCACATTAACTGCCAAGATAAGATAAGATGTAACCAAGCACTATATACTGTATATATATTGGTAACAAGCAGCCAGGCCTTTAAATGGAGGAACCTTTGAAGACATATTGTATGTGTGGTTAATCATGTGACCAAGTAGGGACAAGCAGAGGATGCAGACACTGTGGTTTTACTTAACGGACTGCTTAACAGTTCCTTGTAAGATATGGACACACACACACACACAGCATGTGAGGGAAGATAAATGGTTTGAAGCTTCCTGTGAAGGAAACAACAGAAATTACCACCATATGCCATGAACATAAGGAGTGAAAACAACAGAATGAAAATGGAATTGTTATATTTATTTGAATAAATGTTTGTTTTCTTCATATTAGACACGAGATTTCATATTATCATCATATCATATTAGCTAGTATATTTTCTACTCATTGTTGATTCTTGGCTGCCATAATGTGGCTGTTGTAATGTGCCATAAATTTCAAACTAAAGTGGGAATAAAACTGCAGCTCTGGACATAGCAAGGCTTTCTTTCCTGAGTGATAGGAAGTCTGGATACTGTGAGGCAAACAAAAAGAAAAGTTGCTGCTGGTGGATACATCTGTTGATTTTACATGAGTTTGTTTGATTGTCAAGCCTGCTGATACTGGACCAGATGTCTAGCAGTTTGGCTCAGCAGCAGTCCATCTTGAAGTAAAGGGGAAGTCAGCATGAGGACCACAGGAGTCCTGAACTGTCTGAACAAGTAAAGTCATCCATCCATTCATGTAGTTTATGACAAAGGCTATATAAAAACTTGGATGGACAGATAGGGAAAGTTTGCTGTAACTCATTTATACATTAACATGATATCTTATTTCAACCATTTGTTGTATTGTTCTGATGTTTTTGTGGTTGCCTGTTGTAACAAAATCCTATTCCAGATGGTTTCCACTGTTGAGACGCACACACAGGGAATCTGATGTGGGCTGTGAAAGATCCATCTTTTGTGTGTGTTTTAGTCCTAAAGAGCTTCATGGCCACCGGTCAGCTTGTGGAAAAGCTCCTCATTCAGAGTGTCGCTCTTCTCACGACTGCGTGTAGACATGAAAATGTAGCCTCCAATAAACTCATGAACAATTTTGCAGTCAGCCGTCACGCAGCTAAAAGCAATGTTGACGTTGCCTTCGAACTCTATGGCCACCTGGAGGAGTCAGAAAAACACACACAGTATATGAGATTCCTTTAAGATGAAAAATGAATTTTGGGGCTGAAAAAACACAGACAAAATACAATATTGATTTTATATTAAGTGTTCCTTTCTCTGCACTGTTAGAACTGTAACTCTGGGTAGAGTTAGGACAATAACAGTAGGCATTCTTTGGCTTAAAATGGCTAAATTGACTTTGTCTCTTTAGCTCATTCAGTGCCACATACTCATGGAAACAAAAGTTCGAGATCTTGCTGACTTCTCTCCCAGACAAAAGGTGAATGAAAGCATTGGCGTCACCTGTCGAATGTCCCAGTTGACGTTCCACTGCTTCATGTTGTTGTAGCGCCAGGTCTTCACCACATCACCCACGCCCAGGTCAATGCGGATCAGACGGTTGGGAGCAATTCCCATTACCTCGTCTTTCCGACTACCCTTAAACCTGTTGGGAAAAAATATCTTCAGCTTTTCTTTTCTTTCAAAATCTTGTTGAGACAAAAGTTAATCTTTCATCTTTCACTGGCCTGCTGGATCACACTCGGATACCAGTTCTGTGTTTTCCACCCATCAATAATCATATTTACAATACAATTGCTCTGTTTAATAAAGTTTCCCAAACTAGCACTATACCCACAATTCATCTGCAGAATTATTTTTTTTCCTATGAGATGGTGACTTCGGGATCATCAATAGCACAGCTACAATTTGTTGACAACATTTTTAACAAAAATCGTCATCAGAAGGATTTTAGATTTTAGTTAGCCGTGTTTTCTTGGCCTTAAATGCCTTTTTACAAAAAAGGGTTATTTTATTACCACTGCTAGTGAGTGCTGTTCTGTTGCCAAAAGACTTTGTTTTTGCATTTGTGTTGTTAATTACTTACTAAAGTGTAACTTTCTTAGTTTTGCCCCGTTTTCTCACATTTAATGTTGTGATAAAAAAGTTCCAAATTGATGCTAGCTGGCATTCAATCAATTTTTAAATTAAACTCAACCTGACAACGACGTATGAGAGTCCAAAATCAGGCAGGGCTTGCCAGATCTGCAGGAAGCGCATCAATGCATCTGTCAATGAGAGTTGAGCCACGTTCTGGTATGCGTCCAGGATACGAGGGGTCAGCTGGAGGAACAGGCACAGAGCAAGAGGTTAGATGTAATTATATTTTTTCTGCCTTGAGCACAAACTGGGCTGGAGTCTCAGTTGTAGAACTGTTAATTATTAAGCTCATTTCGGGTGCCCGGTTAGCTCAGTGGGTAGAGCTGGCGACCCATATACCGAGGCTGAGTCCTTGATGCAGCGGCCCAGGGTTCGAATCTGACCTGCAGCCCTTTGCTGCGTGTCATCCCCTCTCTCTGCCCCCCTTTCCTGTCTATCTTCAGCCGTCACTATAATAATGGCAATAAAAGCCCCCAAAAATATACTTAAAATAAATAAATGAATTATTAAGCTCATTTCAGTGGGTAATTTGAGCTAAATGTCATGCACAGTAATATTGGTGTGATCCAATAGTCCTGTGCTCTGCTGTAGCTGGAACATCATATTTATGATATTTACTCTTACAAATTCCACCTCTCCCGTACCTGTTTGGTCTTGTACTTCTTATGGTAGCGTGGCGATACCAGACTGTGAGTATTGATGCTTTCATCGTTGGCAGGTACGTTGCCATGGGAACCGGAGCTGGTCTTTTGCATTGCCAGGAAGGAGCGGATGCTCTGGATCTCGCTCTGGAAACTGCTGTCGGCCAGAGTCTTGCCTTTGGAGCCCAGTCGACACGCAGCCATCCATTGAGCATACTGCTGCTCCTGGAGGGCGAGAGACACAGACACAGATGTGTGTGTGAGAGAGATTGTGATCAGAGAGGTGACATAGTGAGACAAAGACAAAGGTATTTAAAGAGGAGTAGGGGAAATCATAGGATGTCACATACAGAGATGAGAAGAGATGTATTTATAGTAATGATAAAGGTGTGTGTGTGTGTGTGTGTGTGTGTGTGTGTGTGTGGCCTCACGTTTTCACAGCGCAGATAGACCTCATTCATGCCCTCAGGCGCTGGTATGAGGAGTCTGATAAGGAACTTCTGTGCTGTCACGTTAACGTCTGGAGCCACCTCACATCCTGAGTAGAGGATAATTATTAAAGCAACATCAAATACTGAAATTTGACATTTATGGGCTGGACATAGAAATTAAGGATGGAGGGAAATTTAGAAGAGCATTCATGTGATCAACACTGAGTCAGACTTCCATGACATTTTGAGTCCACGCCTGAGCCCGCTGAGTCATGCTCACAGTTTTTTTTAAATAGTACTGATCTAGGATTACCAGTGATCCCATTATCGTGTCGCACACTGAGAAGAAAATAGACTTGAGAGCAGCATTCTCACTTTTTACCATATATGGAAAGCTCTTTGTTTGTGTTGAAGCATTACATTATATCTAAGCAGTGTGTAAAACAGAAGTGAATACAGAAGTTGCTGAAGTATGACTGCTACTTCATTTGCCACTAATTTGTACATACATTATTGGCATAATAATAACAATATTTACAATAATATATTTAGTACCTTTGAGGTTAATCTGTTGAATGGGCTCCCCGATGCTCTCCTCTTTGCTCTTGAAATAAGAGATGGAGGTATCCTGGAACTTGAACCAGTACTGCTTATATCCCTTCAGAGTCAGCCTCTTTGGCCTGAAACATACAATCACATTGCAAAAGTTTCAACTAATTTGAAAGATTTCTGGATTTTCAGAAAACTGGTACTTTGCTCTGTTTGAACTTATAGGTTATGCTGATGGAAATGAATCCCACCTGAATATCTTCAGATAGTCGTTGAGTTCTGGTGCCGTCATGTATTCCTGGATGAAAGACAGAAATGTTTTTGCCCTGGACCTTTAAATCTATTGTTTGAAAAATCTTCAGTTCTTTGAGTTTTGTTTTGACATTGTGTTTCAAACAAACTGCAAGATGTGAAAGAGTTACAGTCCTAAAACAGTTATACTCTATCTCAAAACCATTGCAGATACAGAAGACATTCAGTTTGTCTGACCAGCATCTCGGATGCAGTGCTGGTCTCTCCCTCCATCTTGACCTCCAGGGACTGAAGGGCGGACTCCAGATCGTCCATAGCTGCATTGGAACTCAGCATCTGGGGCTCCGACTGAGACACCTTACTGATGTGGTACTAAAGGAGTTTGAGTGAAAGAGAGGAGAGTGTCAAGCTATTAACTATGTACTGGATGTTAAAGGAGAAAACAACTCGAGTTGTGTGTTACTATTAGCTGTATCATCTGGATACCCCAATCATTTATTAACAGGAGCAGTTCTTTGTGATCAAATTAGAAGTAAAAGGAACCCAAATTAGAGCTAATCAAGTCTAATCCCAACATGAGAGACTTCTTTTATTAAACTTTTATATTTAACCTGTTAAAAAAACGTTATTATTAGTCATCCTATGTCTTTGACAATATTTGCATATACATACGGTAAGATTTAGATTCCAGTAATATATGACATTTAAGAGTTTCATGAGGGAAGTGTCTTCAGCAGCAGTCTTACCTGTAGAGCTCCAAACAGCATCATCTCCTCCTCGGTGCAGTCGATGTCCTCCAGCAGGATGGCCCAGCGCGCCTGCTCATACAGCTGGGTCAGACGCACAACATCGTACTGCACGGTTATAGAACAAAAGAGTCAAATCAAAGCCAAACATACACACATACAGTACTATATATATAAACAGTATACACACACACACCTTGGGTTCAATGTCATAGAAGGCATAGAATTTGAAGCGAAGCCAGACTCTGTCATTTTCTTGGATTCCCTGCTGCAAAAGACAACGGGATGAGTCCAACCACCTAAAAGGACAGAGGATAAGTATATGTGTATAAAATGTGTATGTAACATACATGTATATATGTTTATTAAAATGCTTTTATTGGGTTTTCACATTGTCAAACAACTTAAAGGCCCCATAATCTCACCGCCCACCCACAAGCAGAAAAAACTACCTGAGAGCTATTGTATAATTGTCTTGATGTACATAATTAATTAAAATTAAAATTAATTAACCACCTAAACAACCATAAACAATAAAAAAAAACAACAGTGATAATATATGTATATGTAAATTGAACATCTTACACGTGTGCATATATATTTTCCATTTGACTTATTTCTGTTAATGACTGATCATGGTTAGGTTAATCAAAATGTATTTTATGTACGTTCTAATACATTATGTATGTGCTTATGCAACAATTATATTAAAGTACACACAATGCAAGTGCAAAGCAAAGAATGAAAAAAAAAATTGAATAAGACAATTCTTCTGATGAAAATGTGAGTGTGCTCACTACAGCTTCAATGCAAATAGAGCCTGAAACCATTCAATCAGCTCCAGTTATGATCCAATTATAGGGCAGTAGCCTGTATCAATGAACATGCATGTAAGCTATAGTAGGTTTGACCCCTCAGTTAAGAGGGAGCTGCTTTAATAGCTAAATCTAAGTTTAATTAGCTAAACACGATACAGCAGTGAGTGCAGGGTAGTGAAAACAGAATTGTTTTTTAAAATAACCAAACTTAAATGATCAAGAGTGTGTCTTTGTTAGTGGTAACAAAAGGAGGAGCACATTTGTTATTAAGGTTTCCTGCAATGAAGTTTGAACTTCTTATTGTTGGACAACAGCAGTAACCACTGAACCAACATTCCCAAGGTACCCAACTATTTCATGCCAAAATAGCTGTTTTGAAGAAAGTCTATTAATATGATATGAGTTTACAATATTGATATGTGTGAAGGCATACCTGCCATGGATGTGGGCCTTGTCCACCACGCTGGCTGGGCGGTACTGCTTGGCTATGACCTCAGGGGCAGGGGGAGGCTGGGTGACTGACAGCATCTTGTAGATGGCCTCCATCTGTGCTGAGTCAGCAAAATGAGCCGGCATGCCATTATAGAGACAGGGCCGGGATACTGCGAAAGGAAGTGTAGGAGGGTTACAGTCAATTTTTCACTTTGTAGACAACAGGGAAAAAGTCTGACTAAAATATTTCTCAATTTCTGCTTTAAAATGCACAGTAGCTGCTTTGGAGTAGAGTCAGATGAAAACTGCTGTATTTTACACTCCATGATTAATCTTCTCCACTGGTATCTTTGGATCATTTACAGGTAGATCCTGTAGACTATATGAATGAAGGCTTTTGAGGAGACAAACCTGACTCTAGAAACAGTGATTATTATTATTATTATCATGATTTGCTATGACTCTGCTGATGAAACTGTGATCAAATTATAGCATTTTCTGTATTCATGGTACAGTACTTATAGGAAGTCCAAGGTTGTAAAAGCTGGATTTTAAAAGATTAACTGGTGAAATTGGGAGCAGGGAATACAATCTTTGATACTGGCAGTTCTTTCACGTTTCTTGCTCAGGGCCACTAGTTGTGCATGTGGTGTGAATGTAGTGTGATGAGTGTACCCGAGGAGAGGGGCACCTCGGTCAGGTCGTAGATCTCCTCAGCCGAATCTTTATCTTTCTTCTTCTTTTTCTGCTCTATGGGCCGAAGGAGCGAGAGCTCCTCGGGGTGACGGATATCTGTAGAGGTAACGAAATGGAGTCAAAAGAAATTAGGGACTGTGTCTCTGTTATAATACTGACAAAATAATATGCAGAGAAGGGACAGACTGATCACTACAGCGCACTGAACAATGTTGATAACACACTTGACAACTGGCAACATTTCATTAACAACTGTGCATCAAATGCT